GTTAAGTGAATTGCAATAGTCAACCTATAATATAAGCAAGGCATGGAGAAAACCTATCTCTTATTTAAAAGCACTGAAATATGATATGTATGAGATATCCAAGCTATATGTTAAATTGTGCAGAACTGAATATAAGTGTGCTATAGACAAATAATACAGAGGCATCACTTTTCAAGCAAATAGGCATGCACTGGATTTATTCTCAGGAATGGCAGAGAAAGCATGTCTGTGGAAAAATGAAAATTGCATGTTGCATGAAGCTGAAATGTCAAAGAAGACTGGAGCTGGTAGCAGTCCTGTAAAATATAAATACTGTATATGACAGCAAAGGTACCAAGTTATACACAATATTAAAAGTGAAAAGTGCTATAAACATCTTGACTTTTCTAGGCAGTGGTTCTGTCTATAGTTATCCATTGTGAATAGGATTTACTCCTTAATGGGCTTGTAGAAAGTTGGTTTTATTAAATTCAGAAGCAGTGTAAGATATTGTAAATATTTATAAGAATAGGTTTTATGAATAGATCTCATATGAAAAAGACTCAGAATAATTTGTGCCCCATTTAAATAACCACTTCTCACAAAAAAGTTGCAAGTCCAAATGGAAAGAGATTCCTTCAATTATAGGTAGTTTTCAACTTATGACAACAATTGGGACCAGAATTTCTGTTGCTAAGCAAGCCAGTTGTTAACCTTATAGCACTCAATTTTATCACTTTTTTTGCTACAGTTGTTAAGTAAATCATTGAATTTGTTAAGCGAATCATATCATTATTAAGTGGAAGGCATGAAAGACCAGGACCACACATGAAGTTCCAAATTAAACTGATTTATAGCTCATGCATATGCACAGGAATCTACTCAACTAATGATTAGCACTATTTTGGAGCCAGATAAGGGATAATGGAGTTCAAGAGGGATTGGACTTAATCCATTTGTGGCTATGTAGAGACTCTAGTCTAGGCTGATTCCTCTTTTGACTCTGCCCCCTGTTTCTGTCACTTCTTTTCTATTAACTGAACCTGGTTTCTCCTATTGATTTGCTTGTTGGAAACTGGCTGAGATGGTTTCAAATGGTGATGATATGACCCCAAGATGTTGCAACCATCATAAATACATGTCAGCTGCCAAGCACCAAAATGATGATCATGTGATTATGGGAATGCTACAATGGTTGCAAGAGTAAGAATTCATTATCAGTTATGTTTTTGTGACTTCGTATGATGACTAAATGAATGAGGACTACACACTATCTGTACAGTATAACAACTGGCAACACAGCAGTGGTCTCAATAAGTGTCAAGTACAGTATTCAGAGCATCAGTAAAACATTTGAGGTTTTCCATAACATCTTTGGGGGAAAAAACTAGAACTTTTCAGGTGTACTGTGACTTCTCTCTTTTCCCAATCCTAGAAGTTCCTTTTTTAAGAGAGGTGTGTGTGTGTGTGTGTGTGTGTGTTTGTGTGAGATGGTCATCTTTCTTTGCAATAAATATGATAAATGGTCAAAATGTGGAAGCATTGTGTTAGGTGCAGGTTTCATTCTTCTTCAAGTAAATCCACTGAAACAATGGGAGCTTAAGGCTACTTTAGTCATATCTAAATAATTTCCCTTGAGTTTTAGTTGGTCTGCTTTAAATATAGCTGAACTTGGATTTAGAAAACAATAGATTTGAAAGACTATGTTGTCCAACTTCTTGGGGTTCAGTTCAAGAATCCTAATTATGATGGAGATCTGTTTAGCAAATTCAGCTTGAATCTCATTTCATTTCAACAAGAACACAATAAAACTTAATTTAAAAAAGTCTGCTTTATTCTTTCTGAGATCAATTCAGTTATAAACCTGGTGAGAAATATGATGTGACTAAAAAAGTGAAAGGTGGTTTAGCAGCATTTCTGTGAGGGGAAGGATTCATAATAAGTAAAATGCTAGAAATAAAAAGAATTCAATGCACAGTGGGTGGTTTCAAAAATTAAGTAGTACATTGGTCAAGGAGAATGGCAACTTTCTTTGTCTGGTGCTCAAGAGGGATCTGGGGGCTGAGATGCCAACACATCATATGATATTTAGGAGAGCTTAATAGACCACTGGAAATGGGTATCATGCTGCAGGCATCACATGGCAGTCAAGAGATCTATTGTGTAAGCTATCTGCTCAATTTACTTTGCAACATTGGGGATAAGGAAGATGAGGGTAGTTTTTTTTTATTATTACTGACTGACTTTATGGAGAAAATATCCAGTGAAAATAACAAGGTTCAAAATCACAGGAGTGCTGAGAAAATATTTTTAGTGATTAATCTAGTGCTGTTCAGGTCTCTATGCCTTGCCTTCTCTCTCATTCTTTCTTCATTTTCTTGGAAATGCTTTGCCTACAGCCATATGTTTGTCTGTCTGTCCTCTGTATCTATAAATAGAAGTGACCTGAAACATTACAAAACAGTTGTTAATTCTGATTTTTCTGCTATGTCTCTATATCTACATGCTATACAATTTATTTCAGATGGAAATGTAATCAGCTCCTGGATTTAAAGAAATGGTCCTAAATTATGGCACACACTGATAAGTACATGAAATTTGTCAGAAGCTTCCCAAACTTTAACTGGGATTTTTTCTTCCATAGCTAATAAGGCTCTTTATTATCCCTGCACTATAACATGAATTAGACTTTTTTTTAGTTTTATTAGTAAGAGTTTAGTATGGAAGTGATTCAAAAGAAAAAGTATACTGACGTTTTTAATGGCTGCTCCATGGTTAGAGGTTGTCTAATGCAGTATTTTTCAACCTTGGCCTGCTTAAAATGTGTGACTTCCAGCATGTTTTAAAATCTTTTAAAAATATTGCTATCGCATTTAAAAAGCGTATCGTCATTTTTAGGCCATAACAGTTTATTTTAAAATATTTTAAATAAAAATAATAAAGGAATTATAAATACTCATGGTTATGCTAAACGGTTCTATAAAGTGCAATGCACCATTTCTTAGGTGACCCTTGTTCAAGGTAGTCACTACAGAGCATAAACATTATGTGGCACTGGCCAAGTTGTCTGCAGGCCACCTGTTCTTGTTCATTTTGCCTTTCAGTCTTAGGTCCTTAATAGGTCACGTTTTGCAAATATCAGCACAAATATGTTTAATATCTACAGGAATTTCTGCTTTTTTCTGTGGCAAGTTATACACCGTGAAATTAATTGTCATCGGAACTAAAACTCCTAAGTACAATTTAGGAGAGGGCTTAAAATATACTTGTTACAATTTTAAAGATTTACATTTTGTTTTTAGAGCTGTTTTACATTTTAAAATGTAAAATATTTTAAATGTACAGCTTTTAGAATGTATTATTTAGAAAAAATTATGTGGCTACTCATCTTGGATGCATAACTCTGGGTGGTTCAGAACAAACCACAAAAATAGATTTTAAAAAGCTAATGTTTAAGTATAATACATCAATAGAAGCATCATAATATACTGCCAATGCAACTATGATTGTATGTTATTGATATATTCCTCGAAGTCACCTTGACCTATCAGAATGGGCAGTATATTTTTTTTAAAAAGCAAATTGATGAATTTGCACATAAGTAAACATCTGATTAAAGTAGAGATAGATGATTGAGGATGATGATTACTTTTGAACCCATTAGATTCCACTTGGAAAGAAAAATTAAGGAAACCATCATGCAGATTTAACCAAGGTATGATATGTATGTTAGTTTTCCAAAGGGAAATATTTGTAATTCTTGATTAATATAATTCTAGCCCACATAAACAACTACAGGATGTTTGGAAAATGAGCAGGCTTTCAAAACTTGCTGCCCTTCAGATGTGCTGTTTGGTAGATCTGTGTGCAAGGTTAAATTCTGCAGTTGACTACAGAAGTCTGAATGGAATTATCTTACAGTGTGTCTATGGAGATTCTCAGTCATCCAGTCATGGTTCTTGAAAAAGCACCTTTGGGATATCTTACAGTGTATTTTGGAAACATGTTTGTTCCTTCCTTAGTGATCTCTGGTTTTCTTTTGATGAAATTCCTTGAATCACTCTGAAGAATACATTTGAAGATTTCTACTTTTAGCTAGTTCTTATTTTATTACTATCTTGACGTTATGTAAATATTATATAGCTGTAATAAAAACACCAGGAAAACCAGGAAAAAGATAAAGAAGTCTGAACAAATAGAATTAATGAATGGACAATGAAACAAAGTTATAATTGAACAAGTAAATGAAAAGTCAAGAATGCTAATGATTAGATATTATTTTTGAATGTTACTGATGTATTGTTTTCTTGATTTGAAAAAAAATAAGGAATTAAAAATGATATACATATGCAGTATTCTAAGTGTGGTCTTTATAAAGTCTTAGTAAGACCACCCTTAGAATACTGCATTCAGTTTTGGTCATCAAATTGTAAAAAAGATGTTGAGACTATGGAAAGAATGCAGAAAGAGCAACAAAGATGATTAGAGGGCTGGAGGGTAAAACATATGAATAACGGTTGTAGGAATTGGGTTTGTCTAGTATAGTGAAAAGAAGGACTAGGGGTGACATGATAGCAGTGTTCTAATATTTGAGGGGCTGCCACAAAGAAGAGGAGGTTAACCTATTTTTCAAAGTACTAGAAGGAAAGACAAGAAGCAATGGATGGGAACTAATCAAGGAGTGAAACAACCTAGAACTAAGGAGAAACAAGTAATGAAACAGCTTGCATTCAGAAGTTGTGGGTGCTTTATCACTGGAGGCCTACTTTCATTGATATGAATGGGATTTGGAAATGGTTATATTGTCTGAAACAACAATTACAGCAAGAATGGGTATATTGTTGTAAGACACAAAGGGCCAAGTTGGGGACAGTTTATCCTGCAATGGTAAAGCTCTGTTGATCTAGTTGCTAAGAATCAACACCAATTTGATGATCTATAATCAGTGTGCCTCATGTGAATTTTGTATGTATTTGTATAATAAATTATTTTAACTCTTTTCTCACCTTTCTGTATCCCAGCTTTTTTCCATTGTTGTGTTTGGCTGCATTGTGAATGAAGGCTATATCAACCATCCAAAGTCACCAGAAGAGTTCTGCATCTACAATCGCAACCAGAATGCCTGCAACTATGGTATCACCGTGGGAGTCCTTGCATTCCTCACCTGCCTTCTTTACTTAGCCCTAGATGTCTACTTCCCACAGATTAGCAGTGTCAAGGATCGCAAGAAAGCTGTGCTTTCAGACATTGGAGTATCTGGTGAGTTTCTGGTGAATGTATATGGGTTTCTATAGGGACAGTGTGTATTCCTGTTGGTGAATATGGATCCAGTCTTACATCTGTATACATGATTTAAATGGCTTTTTAATAATCAGAGATGGAGTTGTATTGTTTTGGAATCTGCTTTACTAAATAAACTGATCACCTATTGAAATTAAAATAATTTCTTTTGTTCTCTTGCATCATCTTCATTACCCTTTCTTCTATTTATCTGACTTCTTAATTTCACCAGTTTTACTCTTTTTAGTTTTTAAATTAACACATTTTTGCCAAATTAATTAACTGTAAATAGGAGGAATTGCCTTTGCTGTAATGGAGGATGATTGTCATTCAGGGTGTCCTCTGTCTATGGAGAATCTCTATGCAAATGAGAACTCTGGAAAATGAGGGGCCTGTATTGGTGGAGTCACGTGGTTGCTTTCCTTAACATCATTCAGAAATGCACAAATAAAGTAACCAGAAAGATTTTTGGCACCACTTTTTAAAAAAGAAAAATTATTCCTAGAAATACCCTGTTCAAAGGAGAGCTCTTGGATATAATGGAGAAAAGGAACACCCACTTTCAGAAATGTTATAATATTGTGATATGCTAGCTTTACAGCTAGTAAGTTTTTCTAATTATTAATTTTCCATCAAATAAATATTAATTCTAGAGCAAGCTAATTCCAAATTAAACTAAAAATCTTCAAGATGCCACTGCCATTTGTTTTGGCTCTAAAGGATACAGTAAGCCTTAAAATCTTCTCTACTTCTTATGAAACTGAAGACCAAATTAAAAGGAATTGGGGCTGGCTTATGCAGGCTGTAATCGGCTTAGGAGAGTTATCTGCCCATACAGAGAATATTCTGCAAGAGCATCAACCAGGAGCATTGAACCAGCAGCATCCATGGGTGAGTGGGTTTCAAAATGGGCAGGATAGTGAATACAAAATCTAAGGCCCAACAGGTACTGCTGTTCTGAACTATTAGAAATATTTTTGATTCAAGCTTTATTTTAATTCGTCTCATTGTTCTATTCAGCTATATCAAGTCTGATTCCAAAGCAAATTGATATATAAACCTTAATGCAGTCACAACTTATTTAAGTCACATTGATTTCAGTGAATTTCTACACTTGAATTACACATCTTTCTTAAAAACATATTTTTTCCTGAGATGCTGATTTGTTCTTATGGTTCTTCCAAGCATTATAATTTGCTACCATTAGTAATTGTCTCCAATTGTTTCTGCCTGTCTGGTTTGCTTGGGCATAGCAGACACACTGGAGATCTGCTCAATTAAATGTTGTTATCTCGTGGGATCAAAGGGGTGTGGAACAGCATTCCTCCACAGACACATAAGCCCCAAAACTTCAAGCCACCTGGAAGCTTCTTAAGACCTGGTCCTTTTCCCAGGCCTGAAGATAGGATGTTTGTGGAGCCCCAACAGTTTTTTAGAAGTGTTATTTATGTGGGTTTTGTCTGGGCAATCATGTTTCATTAAATGATGCATTTTTAAATCTTAAAGTTACGTAGAATATTTTTGGAGCCAGAGAGCCTAAAATCCAATAAATAAACCTGGCAAAGCGATAGTTGTCCAATGGGACAGGGTTATTCAGTGAATTATTTTTCACCATTGTGTTTTCACATATGTTATTTTTATAGTTGAGAAGTGATTCCATACTAATTCTCCCTTCAAGGAAGCCTTCTCTGAAACTTTTCAAGCTTGAGCTAATGCAGCCTAAGATAACATTTGTATGGCCTTCTCTAGCCTCATCTTTTCAGATAATAATAATAATAATAATAATAATAATAATAATAATAATAATAATAATAATAATAATAATAATAATAATAATAATAATAGTAGTAGTAGTAGTAGTAGTAATAGTAGTAGTAGTAATAATAATAATAGTAGTAGTAGTAGTAGTAATAATAATAATAGTAGTAGTAGTAGTAGTAGTAATAATAATAGTAGTAGTAGTAGTAGTAGTAATAATAATAATAATAATAATAATAATAATAATAATAATAATAATAATAATAAAGTTGGAAGGGACCTTGGAGGTCATCTAGTCCAACCCCCTGCTCAGGCAGGAAACCCTATACCATTTCAGACAAATGGCTGTCCAGTCTCTTCTTAAAAACTTCCAGTGTTGGAGCATTCACCACTTCTGAAGGCAGGTTGTTCC